GATGCATTGTATGTGGTTGCGGCATTTGATCGATTTTGATGAAGCTGGAAGATATAGTTGGGGCGCTGCAGTTTTGGCATTTCTCTTTAGAGAAATGTGTCAGGCGACGAATTATAAGAAAACTGCTATCGGTGGATGTCTTCTGCTTCTACAATCATGAGGGTGGTTCCGCATGCCTTTCTTATGCCCGATCGTGAATGAACCATACGTATTCCCCTTATTGTTGAGGTAATTTTCGAACTAAATTTTGATTTAAATATTTTCAATTAAATAGGGTTATATTTAGTTTATATTATAATTCATAGGTGGTCGATGAAAGAAAGGACCATAAAAGTATACCTACTGGGTTAGAGGAAATTCGTTTACTTATTGATACGAAGCTGGGTCTGAGGTATGTTTTTAAATTTGTTTAATATTAATATTTTAATTTAAAATGCTAGATATAATTAGAATATTTTATTTATTTGAATTGTATATTTATATTTCAGTTTCAGTGGATACCTTATGCGAGCGATGAAGTGAAAGCTTGCATCTCACCCCACCTTAGTGGGTCATTAGAGGTATGGATATCGGTTATACCTCTTATATGTTATGCTATTATTGAGTGGCATCCAGTTGATCGCGTGCTCCGTCAGTATGGTTGTACGCAATATATTCCTGGAGCACCTAGGAATTTAGACGACGTGCATAACATAGATAGACGAAGAAAGAAAGATGTTAACTGGGTGGTGAGACACAGAGATTGGATTGCGCTTTGGGAGAACTGATATACACTGTTGGCCCCTCGACAATATTACGCTGAAACTGGTCATATGGTTACGGATAACTATATGGACTGGTTTAATGGAAATGGGAAGCCGTTTCTACTTTCGGCAGAAGCACGAGGGGTTAACATTCCTAGGCGCCGAGAAAGACGTCAACCAATATCATCGTCCCCCGACGCGTGGACGGAGAGAAGGCGCTACCGGTTCTGCATCAGTCCCACCACAACATCCTTATTCGTCGATGCCGCAGGGGTACATGCCCAGCCCTCCACTTCATATGCGAAGCCCACCAGTTTATATGCCATCTCCGCAGGGTTACATTCCGAGCCCGCAGGGTTACATTCCGAGCCCGCAGGGTTACATTCCTAGCCCGCCAGGTTACATGCCTAGCCTGCAGGGTTTTATACCATATGGAGGTGCATATACGACTATGTTTAATGATCCAACATATGGTTCATATGCATCTTATTTGGCTGGTGGTGCTTCTCCGCAGACACCTCAATCTCCATCTGGATCATAGACATCGATGCCAATGTTTCCACAGTTTTCACAGTTCCCTGGGAGCGGTGGGATTGTTACTAGCACTCCTCCAGGGTCGTTATTTTATACAGGGCCTTCAGCCCCTTCAGCGTCATCTACACCAAATGAAGAAAATGCTGCTGATGATGATAGTGAATATGAGGAGACTGAAGAACAAGTTCCACGAAGAAATCCTCCACGAAATAGACAACCACCTCCATGTGGAACTCATTCGAGAAGACGACATCGGTGATCCAGTTGTATTTAATGTTATTTAAATAATTATATTTCAGAATTTTATGTAATTTGGTTATGTTATTTAAATGTTTCATGGTTGTTACATACATATTTTTAATGTTATTTTTTATTCACATTTAACATTAAATGTTTGATAAATGTTTTTAAAATGCAAATTATATTATTCGAAATTTAAAATAAAAATAAAAATAATATTATTCAAAATTTAAATTTAAAATATAAATTATAGTATTCGAAATTTAACATTAAATTTCAACTTAATATTCCAATTGTATTCGAAATTAAAAGTTATATTACAATTATAGTTCACAATACTTAAATTGAAATTAAATTTATCCATACATATGATTTTATCATTAACATATATATTAAAACGTATACATTAAAATCAACTTATGTTGAGTTAATCGATCGACGGAATCGGCCAAGAGGGGGGTGAATTGGCAATTTATTCAATGTCACATTTCAATGCTCATTCCATACAATTTCAATGTCACAATCAACTTATCACTTCACATTTATTCAATTTATCCATAACATTTTATCTAATTTATTCAAACTTCACATAACGTTTTAATTTAAGTTATTCTTAACTTGCTGAACTTTCAAAAGAAGTTAAATTTTGGTTATAATTTACCTGATTTACTGATATATCTAGTGTCCCCGAGGGACATGAGTGACATAATAGGGCAATGATAACATATTCTCTGACAAAATAATGGAAGGCGCGCCCCCGGGAACGCGCCTTCATGTGAATAGTGAAATAATAGGTACTGATATATCTAGTGTCCCCGAGGGACATGAGTGACATAATAGGGCAATGATAACATATTCTCTGATAAAATAATGGAAGGCACGCCCCCGGGAACGCGCCTTCTTGTATGGGAAATAAAAGCAAGTTTTATTATTGGTTGTGGTCCAAGATGGAAATCGCAATATTCTTCCTGTTGCGTTTGCCCTCGTTCAAGGAGAAGACACTGAGTCTTGGGCTTTTTTCCTTAAAAATTTACGTTTACATGTTGTCACCAGGGAACGAGTATGCATTATTTTAGACCGAGGAGCCGGGATAAAAGCAGCAATGGACTCTTTGGGTACAATGTATAGACCTCCACATGTTCAACATCGTTATTGTGTCCGTCATATTGCTGCAAACTATTACGGAAAATACAAGAAGAACGATGAACGTCAGTTAGTCGTGTGGATGGGTATGTTACTTTTTCCCAATTTTTCTATCAATTTCTTATTACTTATTTATACTTCATATTAACTATTACATATTCCTAATGGCTTAGGTTACGAACTCTTACCTCAAAGGTTTGAGTCGATGCTACAAGAGCTGTTTGGCAAAAATAAGAAGGGGTGCGAGTACATTATGGACATCAGCAAAGAAATGTGGACAAATGCATACGACGGGGGGTATCGCTATGGTCATATGACAACAAACTTGGCTGAAGCAATAAATTCAACCTTAAAGGGGGCGCGCCATTTACCAGTCACGGCGTTGGTTAAAACGACTTATTTTCGTTTGGGTCAACTCTTTGCAAAGCTCGGTGGAAAAGCTCTTACTTGGATGCAAAACGGACATATTTACCACCCAAGACTAGTAGTCGATTTACAGAAAAAAGTGGCTGCATCAAATGGGATGTTAGTTACAAATTTTTCTCGCACCCGTGAATTGTTTCGTGTAACCGAAATGCCACGTCCGCTGCAAGGGATTGAAGCTAACTCTTTCAGAGTTAATCTGCAAGAGAGGTGGTGCGATTGTGGTTTCTTTCAAGCACTCAAATATCCATGCTCTCATGTCATTGCTGCTTGCTCACATTCGCATTTGGACTACAAAAATTATGTTGATCCCGTATACCAACTTTCACAAGTATTCAAGGTATATGAATTTGAGTTTCCGCCCATAGGAAACGAAAGAGACCCAAATGAGATTTAAACTTGGCTTACAATTGTACCAGATCCATTGCTATTGAGGGACTCAGGTCGTCCAAAATCTACTAGAATACATTGTGATACGGATATTCGGGAGAAGTCAACAGAACAAAAACGATGTGGGCATTGTAGAAACATTGGGCACAATAGAAAAAAATGTCCAGTTCTGTTATCATCATATAACCGTTAACTCTTATGTAATTAATATTGTATTTAAATGAATGTTTTTGTTTCTAATAATTAATGTTATTGCATTTATAATTTGTCAATGTATGTACACCTAAATAATTTTTTTAACTTTTAAATACATAAATATTTTTAATATATTTATTTAATATAATAATTAATATTATTAGTTATAATTTTTTTTAAATATAATAATAATTTCACCTTCTAAGTAGAGAAAAATATTAAATTAAATAAATTAAAAGTTATTAAAAAATTTATGTATACGATGACACATTTCATGTTCTGATTGGAGGATTAAATTTATTAAATTAAATTTTCAATAAGACTAATTTCATAAAAATATGTAAGTCTTGAAGATTAAATATGTAATTATACTAATTTATTAACTTATGCATCAATATTTTCGTTAAATATTGATATGAGATGACTACATTGATAACATTTAAATAATTAACTGATAAAATTAATAGATCGATAATCAAAATCAAAAATAATAATATAACCATATGTGTAATATTATAATTTCATACATTTTTCCTATAACTACAATAAAGTCAAAATTGGTTTTCATATATTGTTATATCATATTAATATAGATAATTCACTCCACATTTAACACACATTAACAAAATACATTTGATAATTCTTACATTATAATCGAAACATTTTACATAATATATTATTAATTTATAATAATAATAAAAAATAAAATATTTATTATTAAACAAAATATGTGGCAGTCGAGCTGGCGAAAGGCGCGTCTCCGGGGATGCGCCTTCCACACGTGGCATCCAACTCAACGAAAACATGGGTAAAGCGCGTCCCCGGGGACGCGCCTTTCGCCAGCTCAACAGAAAAAATGCTACTTCGAAAAATATTAATTAAACGGTGTTAGAAATAGAATATTAAAGAAAATTGGTGTATGTCAAATAGCCCTGCCTTTTTTATGATTTTCTTTTCAAAACCTTTTGGTTGTCCATCCCCAATCATACTACTTTTTTAATTTGCTTTCTCCTTTTTCCGCTTTTAACCGTTACAATCTGTCTTCAGCTTCCACTATATAATCATTTTTTTTTGTTTCAACCGGCTATAGTCAATACTGTTTTCAAATGTTTGCTGAGAAATTTTGGATATATAAGGTAATTTGATCCTTTCCTATTGATTTACCACAACGAATCTTAGCCCGTGAACTGCAGTAAAAGTGAAGCCTTCTTTCCTTTAGTTACTTCGATATTCCATTGTTGTTTCTGCCTAACTTCACATGAAAATTCTGGCATGATTTAAAGGTCCTTTTTTTCTTCTTTCTCCTTACAGTTTTCTATTATATATGATACAGACAACCCGAGAGGAAGGGAAATCTAGTGCAATTTGCCAAACCAAATTTAATATTTAGATTATATTTTCAGGAGATGTGAAGCGATTTTCGAAGCAAAGATGAAATCCTTCAGTGGCTTAGGGATTGGTTTAAGTTTGGTTTTTGGTTGTCTTTTATTGGCTCTTGTTGCGGAGCTTTACTATTTGCTTTGGTGGAAGAAGAAGAGAGTTGCTAGCTCTGATGTTGAATACGATTACACCAACTATGCGAAGGAGCTTGTTCAACTCTTCTGCTGGAAGAAATCATCAACTCCTCTACATGCACCCACCATCCCCAACCACCACCAAGATATTAATGGTGTCGAGCCAGACCTGGAACTTGGATCGACCAAGGGTTTACTGCTAAAGGGGGGCTTTGGAGAAGAGGGCGTTGAATCAGAGCTGATGAGGCTCCACAATCTGGCTGGTCCACCCAGATTCCTTTTCACCATCAAAGAGGAAACAAAGGAAGATTTGGAGTCTGAAGATAAAGGGTCAAGAAGAAGGAACTTGAATGATGTGATGCTACCTATGGACACTCCTTTCCATAGTCCTTTGTCTTCTCCGCCATTGAAGTCACCTTTGGGTTCTTATTATCAGCCCCAAGGGTTCAATACTCTCTTTGAATCATCGACGGATGGTGAGTTAAATAAGCTGAGACATTCACCTCCTCCTAAGTTCAAGTTCTTGAGGGATGCAGAAGAGAAACTTTTACAGAAATTGATGTTAGAAGCTGAGAAAAACGGTTCCTTTCAATATTCTGGTGTTAAAGCTGTTACTAGTGCTACAATTTCAACAGAAGGGACAATGATAGAAGGGTCTTTCCTTAAGTTCATTGTTGGTAAGAACAGGGAATCTCTCCAGTATTTACCACAGTATCCTTCAAGTTCTTCTCGGGTGCTGCCATTGGCTTATTCTCCTACAACACTCAGACCACCAGACAAGAAAGACAGTACGCATTAGTTTCATGCTACATGAGTTTATTTTTTTTACTTCTTTTTTCAATTTATTCTTTTAGTCTACCAATTCATCTTGAATTAAGAAAAATTGACATTTTCTAATATCAATGTTTAGGATGTTGGTTTGGTTAGTTCAAGGTGGGGGGCAATCTGGTTTTGCCCCCATCTTCCATGTCGCCTGAGTCTCACTTAAACTGCCATTCCTTCATTGTGCTACATTTCTTAGAATTGATTCTTAGCCAGCAATATGAAAGTGATTAAAGTTTCCAGACATTGTTAAAGGCATGTATTTTCAGGAGCTAGTGATATGTAGAAATGGTGTACAGCTAATTCTTTGTTGTTTTCCCCGATTCAAACAGTGGAACCCTGTCTGATTATACAGTTTGTCTTCTTGTCAATCAAAAGGCGGCAAACAATGCATGGTGTAAACTGACGCTTTCCCACTATCCTAAACCATCACTCCTGTCCAATGAATGATTAACAAGAATCTAAATATTGTATTAATTAAAATCACCCTTTGTTGTAAACAGTTTATACTGATTAGAAAATTCAATTAATATTCGACCAAAAGCTTGACATCTCCTTTTTTTCTATAACTTAAATACTAAGATTTATGTTTTTCAAAATTCGAATCCTTAAAAATGGATGGCAGCATCTGCTGCAACGGACAGCATTTTAAATGGATAAAGTGAAAAGATCCAAGCAATAGGTGCAGGGACCAAACCAGTGAAACCAGACATTAGTTAGAAAAGTGGCCCAGAATGTTTTTAGGTCAATTTTTGTTTGCTCTATTTCGGGTACTTATGCTGTGGGGGCACTTAAAAAAAAAAGTTAAAAGACTGCGTTACTAGTTAAAATTTAGACTAATTATGTTATATCATTTAATTGAAAATATTATCAAGTATAATAATATATTAAGTAGCGATTATATAATAAAATAGGCATTTAACTTAAAATATTATCAAGTACAATAACATATTAGGTAGCGCTTATATAATGTAATAGGTAACGGTTATATTGACATATTTTATAAGTAAACCGATATATTTATACCGGTAACATTGTAAATTTACCTATTACATTATAATTATCGGTTTCGATGTTTTTTGGATCGATACAATTTTAAATGTATCGACACTTTATGCGTGCACCTCGTTGGGCATTCATTCTGGAAACAAGTATCGACACAAACTTAAAGAGTGTCGATACATTATTTATACCTATTTTTTTTTTCATAAAATCGGTATATTTCTATCGGGTACATTGTAAATTTACCTATCACATTGTAATTATCGGTTTCGATGTTTTTGAGATCGATATTTTTAATAAATGTATCGATACTTTATGCGTACACCCGTTTGACATTCATTATGGACAAAATGTATCGACACAAATTTAATAAGTGTCGATATTTTATGATGACCTATTTTCTCATAAAACCCGTATATTTATATCGGTTACATTGTAAATTTACATATTACATTATAATTATCTATTTCGATTTTATTGAGATCGATACTTTTAATAATTGTATCGACACTTTATGTGTACACCTCATTTGGGCATTCATTCTGGACAATAAGTATCGACACAAATTACACAAGTGTCGATACATTATGTTGACATGTTTTCTAATTAACCGATATATTTATACCGGTTACATTGTTAATTTACCTATTACATTATAATTATTGGTTTCGATGTTTTTTGGGTCGATACTTTTAGAAAAAGTATCGACACATATTTAGGTAGTTATTGTACACACCTAAATATATTACGCGAATTTAATGTTGTACACACCTTCAACTACCACTACCAATACCACATCCTATTGAAAGCACGACTGAAACATGTTGAATGAACCTTTACTTACATCTCCATCAACTCTAGGACCACTGAACTTGCACAACAATATTTTTGCCATGGATCATACTGATGCAGACAATGTTAAGCCAACCGAGGAATGCCATGAAGTACATAATGTTGATGAATCTGACAGATTGGTTGGTCAGCTCTTCTCTTCACGTGATCAAGCTTGGTACTTTTATAAGGGATTCGTACAGGAACATGGGTTTAGTGCATGTAAGGGAACAACACGGCTTGATGTGGAAGAGAATCTGAAGACACAAGAATTTTGTTGTTCCAAAGAAGGGTTTCGAGTATCAAAAGGCAATAATGTTGATCGTCAACGTGCTTATACGCCAGTCACAAGAACAGGATGCAAGGCTAGAGTCGTAGTTACAGCAACAAATACAAACGATCACAGGGTTATATGTAAGTCTTATCAGAAACATAATAATGCATTGTGCACACCTGCTATGATACCATTTATGCGTTCTAATATAGCTGTAAGTAAGGCTGATATCGATGAGGCAACAGCATTGAAAGAGGTAGGTGTTGGCACGTCACAAGTAATGAACTATTTAACGCAACAGGCAGGGGGCTATCATAATGTTGGATTTACATATAAAGATCTCTACAATGCACTTCAAAGAGGTAAAGCAAAGGAAATCGTCGATGGGGATGTGAATGCGCTTATTGCTTACTTTGGTTATAAGAAACATGATGATCCCGAGTTTTATGAAATACTCGATAGACGAATCATGAGCATTGCATAATCTTATTTGGTCGGATTCTACATCGAGATCAGATTACACATGCTTCGGTGATGTAATTGCGTTCGACACAACGTAAAAATATAATTTGTACGGTCGACCAATTATGCCTATTGTCGATTCAATCATCGCCATAACAAAATTATGTTTGCCACTGCCATAATCGCTGATGAGACGTCCCAATCTTTCGAGTGTGTGCTACAGAATTGTTTAGAAGCCATGATGAATAAATCGCCTATTTTAGTTGTCACCGATGGGGATAGGGTAATGCAGAGGGCTATTAAATCTGTTATCCCTTATGCTAAACACATATTATGTTCTTGGCTTCTTTCTCGCAATGCATAAGCTAACATTGGTGACCCAAAATTTACAACAACATTCTCAAAATGCATAGCTTCCTGGTGGACAATCGAGGAATTCGATATTCAATGGCGTTCGGTTGTTTCAGAATTCAACGTCGAAAAACATCCATGGGTGATTGAGAAGGGAAATACTCGGCACGTATGGGCACAAGCATATATAACCGGTCATTTCTTTGCCAATATTCGTTCAACACAAAGGTGCGAGTCTATGAATGCTTCACTAACGATTGCACTGAAAAACAAGAAGACATATTTAGATGATGTTCGTGCAATTAAAGATGGAATTAGTAGAATGCGTATGAACGAGTTGAAAGCGGATTACTTAAGTTCCCAGATGAAGCCCTTCCAGATCACAAAACTGGTTGAACTTGAAAGCCATGCTGCTGAGATTTTTACCCGCGAATCTTTTCGTACGCAAGATGGAGACATTGTATCGGATTAAGGAAGAGATTCAGTCCTTATCAGATGAATGTCAACATTATATTTTGACAAAGTACAAAGAAAAAAATATAACATTTGAAATTGGTTTTGATTATCGTACGAAAACCCTAATTTGCTCCTACAAAAAATTCGAGACCGTTGGACTTCCGTGTCGCCATCAACTTCACATTTTGAAGCACTTAGATTACTCATATTTTTCCAGGACTTTAATTCAAAGTAGGTGGACTAAGGATGCGAAGGCTTCTGCACCCAGTTATGTTGACTTGAATGTACCTCCAGAAGTGATGTAAACGGCAAGGTTCGCTGCTCTACGTTCAACGTCAAGTAGGTTATGCTACATTGCATCAAAGATAAATACGCCTTTCAAAACCGCAAGAGATGAGATGAAAAGACTAATAGAAGAATTTGAAAACTCGTTTGGTTTGAAGGATTCAGTCAACCAGAGCAGTGTAGTAAACAACGTTCACGGCCCTCAACGAAAACAACGCAAGCGAAAAGAAGTACCGAAGAACAAGGTCGAGAAGAAAATTAGGCGATGTGGGTACTGCAACGGTGAGGGAAATAACAAACTAACATGTCATCAAGTCAAGCTTAGTTTGAATACAAGCACACAACCTACATCAACTGATTTTTTCGAAGACAGAATGGAATGGCCATTCAGTCCCGCACGTGATGACAACGATCTATATATATCGTAAGTATCAACATGACTCCTATTGTGTATAAGAAACATGTACAACAGCCTATTGCTAACTTTTCTCATCTCATACATAATTACATTCACATAAAAAATTATAAATCGTATGTAACTTATACAAAAGTAACCCTACATTAACAAAATTTCATCTCTTAGTCTATTTTGATTGTGGCTTACGAGACCGTTTAATATTTCATCCGCATCATCACATAAATGCCAAACAATCTGTAGACTATAGTCTCCCGCAATCATGGCCGGAATCAGTTCTGTAACTGGGATTATACAGGTTAATCATGTTGATTGCATAGCCAATAAAACCTGGTGGTAAGCTAGAAATTGGTAAGGCAAGCTTCATTTGAGGGTTTAGAGCCCTCCAACGTAAGGAGTGCATGATTGAACATTACGTATAATAGTTATATTCAGTTGTTGAAGAATTGTTCTTAATTTTATATAAGGATAGTTGTTATGATATACGTTCACGTTTCGGGACCAATTAGTTAGATGCGTGCAATAGCCTATATCCTCGAGGCAGAGCACATGAAATATGTCACTTAAAGATTTACCAAGAGCGGTAGCTTTTGCTCTGAATGAAGATAAACCTAGAATCAACTTTGCAATTATGCCTATCATGCTGAAGAGAACCTGCTGAAAAATAGGATTTGCATACAACTGCAAGCATTTTAAACGCTAAACCCGACTCCTCACATGGAAATTTTTCCATTAAATGATTGGCATCTCTGTTGCATAATTTTCAATGTGAGTAGTTGGGTTTAGGGTTTAAAATACTTGCAGTTGTGTGCAAATCCTATTATTCAACAGATTCTCTTCAGCATGATAGGCATAATTGCAAAGTTGATTCTAGGTTCGATCTTCATGCAGAGCAAAAGCTACAGCTCTTGGTAAATCTTTAAGTGC